CCCAGTTTAGGTATCACATAAACGTAACAAATACAAGTGTATCTTAACTGTTTAATATGGCGTAATAGTACTCATTTGATAGCTAAACTGGATTTGTTACGTTTACAAGTGTATCTTAACTGTTTAATATGGCCTAATGGTACTTCATGTGACACCTAAACTGGATTTGTTACGTTTAAGGCAGTTCCTGAAGACCAATAGTCTGCTCACAATGTTTACACTTTGCTTTGATGTAACCAGATCTAAAAGTATGAAGTGTTCGTGTACCACTGAAGGCAGTTTAGTAGCCATATCAAATTCTCTCAAGTGACTTGACTGGATCAATAACCATGTAATACAATAACGTTTACACTATTTGGAGAGTAATGACCTGATTTAAAACATACCACACAAAACCAAGTGAAGAGCACTCTACGTGATTACAATAAAACATATATAATTGAATAGGTGAAACTTTGCTTCTGTAGGAGCTATTAAGCTCACCTATCTATAATGCTTTACCTCACCTAACTATAATACCCAATGATTGTTTACTTTAAAGATAATTGCAAGCGAGGAGTTGGAAGACAGAGAGCCAGGCGGAATATCGTAGCTGCCGTAATAGTTTTGATGGTCATATATTTTAGTTTGTACATCGTCGAACAGATGGCAGCAGCACTTGGGGGTTAAACTGAGCCCTCAACACAATGAAATAAAAACTCTTTGACTAGACGGGAGGGTGAATACAACCAGTTCAGTAAAATTGAATGAGAATGACAGGGAAACAATTGAAATTATATTGGATAAGCAAATATATGCAAAATATATACAAATAAAGAAATTTCTCGACTGTCAAAAAATATCGTTGTTGAATATTAAATCTTTTGAATCAACATCTCACATATTAACTTAATTTTTGTTTTGCTAAAAATCTGACTTAAATTTACTAATAAGTTTAACCTTTTTACATTTCATTTATAATTCGTGCTTTTAACATCACGGTTCGTTCAGCTATTTGATGGTCAATTATCTTCAGACTTTACTGTCAGCTTTTATTTAGATAGACAATTCATCCTAGGATATTTCAATAAAGAAAACAACTATGATGTCTCCTAAAGAAAGAATTAAAATTTATGTTATAAAGGAATGACATAAGTGTAAACCTGAAATGGCCTTACAATTAAATAAATCTAATTACATAGAAAACGAAAATGGAAGAGACGAGTAGAGAAATGACCTGATTCACACGTCCTTCACCATAGGTCAATACAACGTTTTCTTTGCATCTGATGCAAAACATATCAAAGGTTTTGGATCACTTTTTTTTCGGATCTTTATGCTTAAACGTTTCATATTTTTGAAAGAGTTTTTTATACAAGAAAGTATTAGTTTTATTGTTTTTTTTGTTTTTTTTGCAATTCACTATCATAGTACTACTATATAGCACTTTAATATAATAGCCTAACAATTCTGAAAGTAACCTAAACAGGACTGGTTAATTTTGTAACACATCCCACAATTTGTTTTTATTACCTACAAATAACTAATTATAATTAACGCCGCTCAAATATTTAGCTATATTCTTTATTACATTTTCAAAGATTAAAAATGAGTCTAAAAATATGAAAGTTTCTGTTTCACAGTTTCAGCACTGTTGCTCAGTAACGATGTTCAGTAATTCAACCTTTTCAAATCTGGAAAACTTTCTTTTTATGTTAATGATTTCACATAAAAACTACGTCATATTAAACAGTTAAGATACGCTTGTAAACGTAACAAATCTAGTTTAGCTATCACATGAAGTACCATTACGCCATATTAAACAGTTAAGATACACTTGTTGAGCTTATGGCCATGACACCAGACACGGTATGTAGTCAGTATAAGTCAATGAGCTTATGGCCATGACACCAGACACGGTATGTAGTCAGTACAAATCAATGAGCTTATGGCCATGACATCAGACACGGAATGTAGTCAGTACAAGTCAATGAGCTTATGGCCATTACATCAGACACGGAATGTAGTCAGTATAAGAAAGAGCAAAAGAAAGTCAGGATTATAAAGTTTAATTTTCATGATCGCCTTTACTGTGCAACAGTAAACTTTTAATTAATTCATTATTATCGTGTTATAAAATTATGTTTTAAAAAGTATCTTACATAAATTATTTGTACAAATTTGTTTAATTTGGATAAAATAGCTGTATACAAATCTGCATGTCATGAATAGCTAAGATATTTTCTGTGAGAGCGCGTTACTTGTAACATCTTGATTGTCATGTCTTTAAGTGGGAAATAATACATTACTTCCATCTGTTGGCAGAATCTTACATTTAAGTTCCGTTCTCCCTAAAAATATTTTCGTTAAGCCTTATTGTGCTCTTCACAACTGTACTTTTCACATTTACCACGCTTCCATGTACGCAGAGAAACCAATAAAACGCATGAAATGCAGAAAAGCTAACACAATAAACAATATGCAGAAAAGTTTTAACTGATACAAAAGAAAAATGACCCAAAGCAATATTAAACTTATATGTGTATTTGTATGCAGATATGTGTGAAAATTTTAGCTGAACCAGAAACATTCATCCGCCTAAACTAAAGGAAGAATAAATCCTAGCATGCTTTACATAAAAATGTTCCTGTTTCATTTACATTTGACTCCTTCTTTTTATTTTCAGTTTTAAGATTCATTTATAAAAATAGAAATTAAACTGCATACTGATTATTTGTCCACTATAACTTGCATTCACACCCTGTGAAATACAATTTAAAACAGGTACATAGGACAAACATGTAACAATGATAAAGTGACGGATTGAAAATACAGTAAAATACCAATATTGAAATAATTGGTAACAATGATCAGTCATAATTTCATAGTTCCTAATATACAAAATTACATAAGAGAATTCCTTTCAACCGAAAGAACATTACATTAATTAATCATATCATAGACTTCTAGCTGATATACCCATTCAATATGGAGAAGACACAGGATTCTCGGGGAGTGACATGGGAGGGGGGGGGGAGTAGATCTCAATGCTTATTTCCTATGTCATTTCCTCGGAGATCCTAAAGGCTCAAAGTGTGAAAGGTGGCCACAAATACGTGTAGCTAGGAGGCGGATCCGAATGTCAAACTAGCTATGACACAGTTACACAATAATTGGTAGAAATCAGTAGAATAACACGCAGGGGCCCCTGTTCCACTTTCCAGTTGGCTTTAAGAGTACAATCCAAGTTTATTTGAAACTTGTTCAGTACTATAGGCATGAAAGGAGAATACACAGACAGTCACTGCTTCCCCCTGGGAGGATAGATGGGGTCAGATCCAAAAGTCCACCAATATCACACTTCCCAGACAACCACAAGAATGCAAACCAAGTGTGGTTGAGGTCAATCAAAAAGCTTTAGAGCGAAAAGTAAACACACGAATGATACTTCTGCTTTACATATATATAGATAACTGAAATAAACTCCTTAAACAATTCTTAAAAATTAAAGTGGCAATAACTGCTAGTTGTCTGATGAAAAATGGTTATGAATCATTTTATGTACAACATATTCATGCATAAAGATTTCAAAAGGAAGATGGATAAATATTAGTTATCTGAGGAACAATGGTCATGATTCATTTTATGTACAACATATTCACGCATAAAGATTTCAAAATGAAGATGAATAAAGAGTAGTTATCTGATGAAAAATGGTTAATATTTCATTTTATGCACACGTTATTTGTTCATAGGTATTTCAAAATGAAGATGATGGTCTTAACTATTTACGTTATCAGATGAAGAAAGCTAATAATATTTTTCTTTCTTTTTTTATCACACAGACATACACACACATATATATATATAATTTTTTGTTGATGGAGGTAGTCTGCCAGACTATTTCTTTGCTTTATATCAGCTCTGACTAGATCTGCTGAATATCACTTACCCTCCTCTATTGGTTCTCATCTTTCTGGCCCAGACTTCTTCCATTTAGTTACCTAAGCATGGTAATGATGCTGGAATGGAAGGTGACCTGATGGAGGCCAGAACACCGTGTGTGCTAGTGGTAGTACCTTTTGGTGGGAAAGCAGTTACTTGGATTTATTAGGCAGAGATGGTGTGGCTTGAGACATGGATGCCTCAAATTTTGTCCCTGCATTGATGGTGATGGTTGGTGCTACAGTACAGACCATTGTTGATGTTGTTGTTGTTTGGGCTTCTTAGGTTTCTTCTTAGAGTTTCAATCTAGAAAGATTATCTTTAGTTCGGGTACATGATGCTTTTGTCAAAACATTTTACTTTGATGCCATTTGGTCACAAAACAGTCTTAATGGGGGATTCAGTTGTCTCTTTTGACAGAGTTGGCTGCAACAGCTTGAGTTCACTGACATGTCGTAAGGATATGAGGGTTTCACCATACAGGTGGTGTAACTATTGGT